CCCTGTAGCGCCATTTTGGAGAATATCAGCTGGATGTAAACAGCGTATGCCGAATCTGTTTCCTACATTGTTGTGATTTATTGTTGTGATTTGATCTGAACGGAAACATTGTATCTGACACAGAACAGCATACGCTGTTTACATCCAGCTGATATTCTCCAAAATGGCGCTACAGGGTGACGCGGAGGAGACAAATTGTTGAATAAAGTCGTTTTTTTTTTTCTTTTGCGCACAAAAATTATTCTCGTAGCTTCGTATAATTGTGGATGAACCACTGATGTCACATGGACTATTTTAACGATCTCCTTGCTACGTTTCTGGACGTGGGAACATTTCAGTTGTGCTGCTGTCTATGGGAGCGTCAGAGAGCTCTCAGATTTCATCAAAAATATCTTCATTTGTGTTCTGAAGATGAACGGAGGTCTTACGGGTTTGGAACGACACGAGGGCGAGTAATTAACGACAGAATTTTCATTTTGGGGTGAACTATCCCTTTAAAATGTTCTCTACCAATATTAATACTTTTATTCAGCGAGGACTCATTAAATTGATCAAAGGTGACAGTGAAGACATTTCTATTTCAAATAAATGCTATTCTCTTGAACGCCACAAAAATATGAAGCAGTACAGCTGTGTTCAATATTGATAGTATCCAAAAATGTTTCTTGAGACTGGAGTAATGATGCTGAAAATATTACGCTATTTTCACAGCAATAAATTACATTTCACTATATTGCCAAAAGTATTGGGACACCCCCTTCTAACCAACAGGTCTGACTACTTTAGTGATTTCCATGAGTGCAAATCTTAATGTTGCATCTAATTTTATAGCAACAGTTTGGACAGGAGCCTTTTCTATTCGAACAGAAAAGTCTATTCTAAGTCTTTTCCTGGCTGCATTGCAAATGACAGTGCAGTGTTATTTAGCAACAGTAAACCAGTGGTAAACTGAACCAAACCTGCATCATTAAATATTCATGTCCTTTGTTTTAGTGCCTGAGAGAAACTGTGAAAAAGGTTGAACATTAAACGTGCTACGTGGCATGATGCTGAGACCGTATCATGTTTAATTTTGGTGTGAAAAGTACATTTAAGAAATGGGAATTTCAAATGTTTCAGACCTATGACAACAACCTACGAGTGGAGTTACACACATCTCCACATGTTTACAGCCAGTTGCTTGCGTGTCGAGACGAGCCTGTGTGGAAAACCTGTTCAGCGCTGTAATAAACCACGTCGGGGTCTGAGAAACCTTTCTCTTTTTGCATTTCCAGGTGGTCCAGGGTTGGATGAGGACGTATCAGCAGCGCAGACCCCTGCTCTCGAAGGATCCCGATGCATGAAAATCAGCTTTCACTTTTGGTGATTCTGCACATAATCTGTGAACCTGGTCAATAACTCAACACTGTCTCGTCGTCCTGTATTGCAGATTCCCAAGATGGACATTTTTGAGCAATAAGCTACTGATTTTCCCACTGTTTGACGCGCTGAGTCTGAAAGAGCTTTAGGGACATGAGAAATCTACAGTGAAGCGATGGGATCATATTGTTCGCCTCAGGTCTCTTCTCATGAAGCAGTCTGAATAGCAAGACTCCAGAAGGATGTTAATACGCCTCTGTGTTACAGTTGTTTATTTATTTTAGCTGTATGTATTCTGCTGATGTGCTATTAAATCCTCACGAGATCTGTAGAGTATTTAGAGCTGAAACACCTTCTGGGGACACCAGAGACTTATATTACATATTGTAAAAAGGGGCATAATATGTCTCCTTTAAAGTTGGCGTGAAATGAAAATTCACCCCATATGTTTCCTAAATGTATGTTACCGATGTTATCGTGAAAAATGTATCCACCTTATTTTCAACTAGTAAGAGTAACAGCATGCAGTAAATTCTAAAAATGGTTTGGGCTACAAACTAGTGCGTTCTTAATTAAGACTATACATGAAAATATTATGGTAAGACACACCAGTTTGAAATATCATGCAGCAAAATGAGCTGTTTTGCACAGCTAAAAATAGCTGGAAAATAAACTGGAAGCTAGACCTTTTTTTTTTGGACATAATTTCAGCATCAAAATGTCATAACTGGATCTTCCAGTGAAAACTAGACTTCTCTCAGGTGACGTCTGTAGGCCCTCTGCAGTCATTTAGTCCCATTGAACTCATCCCTGTAAGCACACCTTCAACTGCTTTTTATCTTTTAACTTTTTTTACAGGCTTTATTAACAGCCAAAAGTAGCTGTGCATCCTGAGTACAAATGTGCACAGACATTTCAATCAAACAATCACAAACTGTCAAGTAATTGTCAGCAAATGTGTTCAACTATACAGTATTCACCATATTTTTAGCATAATATCAGCTGCAACCATTTGTAACAAATCTGTGCCGCTTGTAGTTATTTTAGCGGTGCAAAAACTGTTATGCTGCTTGAAACTGCAAACTGGCTTATCATCATATCATATTAAAGCAGTAATTCACCCAAAAATGAAAATTTGCTGAAAACGAAGCACACAGTGCCGTCAGAACGAGTCCGAACAGCTGATAAACACATCACAAGCATCCACACCAGTCCAGCAATTAATATTTTGTGCATATCCTTAAAAATAATTGTAACTAAAAGGAATTATTGTAGTCATAAACAGCACATATTTTCACAATTTAATGCACTTTTGTTTTTCTTTTAGTTATTTACCTATTGCAGCTGATGAATCGGAAGTGTTGCACATGCAAAAAAAAGGTGGATGCACAATACCAAAACAGACAATAAAAATCTGAGTGCTTTAGGTGACTGTTAAGGTATAACAAACTGGCTTTTGTCCCGTCTGCTGTGGACGTCACAGGATAGTAGCTGGTGCCAGTCGGTGTCAGGACGTGTTAGACCTGCTTGTGCTAAAATGTGACCCTGGAGCACAAAAGCAGTGTTAAGTCGCTGGGGTATACTTGTAGCAATAGCCAAAAATACATCACATGGGTCAAAATTTTCTCTTTTACGCCAAAAATCATTAGGATATTAAGTAAAGATCATGTTCCATGAAGATATTTTGTAAATTTTCTACCGTAAATACATCAGAACTTCATTTGGACAACTTTAAAGGTGATTTTCTCAATATTAGATTTGTTTTGCACCCTCAGATTCCAGATTTTCAAATAGTTGAATCTCAGTCAAATATTGTCCTATCCTAACCATACATCAATGGAAAGCTTATTTATTCAGCTGTGCAGCATGTGGTGTACAAGTCTCAATTTTGAAAAATTTACACTTAAGACTGGTTTTGTGGTCCAGGGTCACATATTAATTATGTTGAGGCATTTGGTCATTATGTTCGGCTTCTCTAGAAAACCAACACATGGAAGAACGAATGATCAGAAATTGAGCTAGTTGACTGTATGGAAAGCGGTGTTGAAGTCGGTGAAAAGTGAATGAAGATGGGTGCAGGAATACTTGTGAAATGATTTCTGGTTTGTCCAATGCAGTGCAGAAGCAGGTTTACCGCATTTTATCAGACCTGCTTGCAAACTACATCCGTAGCTAAACAATCACGTTTCCATGATCTCAATCTAACATTTTTGGACATAATTTCAGCATCAAAATGTCATAACTGGATCTTCCAGTGAAAACTAGACTTCTCTCAGGTGACGTCTGTAGGCCCTCTGCAGTCATTTAGTCCCATTGAACTCATCCCTGTAAGCACACCTTCAACTGCTTTTTATCTTTTAACTTTTTTTACAGGCTTTATTAACAGCCAAAAGTAGCTGTGCATCCTGAGTACAAATGTGCACAGACATTTCAATCAAACAATCACAAACTGTCAAGTAATTGTCAGCAAATGTGTTCAACTATACAGTATTCACCATATTTTTAGCATAATATCAGCTGCAACCATTTGTAACAAATCTGTGCCGCTTGTAGTTATTTTAGCGGTGCAAAAACTGTTATGCTGCTTGAAACTGCAAACTGGCTTATCATCATATCATATTAAAGCAGTAATTCACCCAAAAATGAAAATTTGCTGAAAACGAAGCACACAGTGCCGTCAGAACGAGTCCGAACAGCTGATAAACACATCACAAGCATCCACACCAGTCCAGCAATTAATATTTTGTGCATATCCTTAAAAATAATTGTAACTAAAAGGAATTATTGTAGTCATAAACAGCACATATTTTCACAATTTAATGCACTTTTGTTTTTCTTTTAGTTATTTACCTATTGCAGCTGATGAATCGGAAGTGTTGCACATGCAAAAAAAAGGTGGATGCACAATACCAAAACAGACAATAAAAATCTGAGTGCTTTAGGTGACTGTTAAGGTATAACAAACTGGCTTTTGTCCCGTCTGCTGTGGACGTCACAGGATAGTAGCTGGTGCCAGTCGGTGTCAGGACGTGTTAGACCTGCTTGTGCTAAAATGTGACCCTGGAGCACAAAAGCAGTGTTAAGTCGCTGGGGTATACTTGTAGCAATAGCCAAAAATACATCACATGGGTCAAAATTTTCTCTTTTACGCCAAAAATCATTAGGATATTAAGTAAAGATCATGTTCCATGAAGATATTTTGTAAATTTTCTACCGTAAATACATCAGAACTTCATTTGGACAACTTTAAAGGTGATTTTCTCAATATTAGATTTGTTTTGCACCCTCAGATTCCAGATTTTCAAATAGTTGAATCTCAGTCAAATATTGTCCTATCCTAACCATACATCAATGGAAAGCTTATTTATTCAGCTGTGCAGCATGTGGTGTACAAGTCTCAATTTTGAAAAATTTACACTTAAGACTGGTTTTGTGGTCCAGGGTCACATATTAATTATGTTGAGGCATTTGGTCATTATGTTCGGCTTCTCTAGAAAACCAACACATGGAAGAACGAATGATCAGAAATTGAGCTAGTTGACTGTATGGAAAGCGGTGTTGAAGTCGGGGAAAAGTGAATGAAGATGGGTGCAGGAATACTTGTGAAATGATTTCTGGTTTGTCCAATGCAGTGCAGAAGCAGGTTTACCGCATTTTATCAGACCTGCTTGCAAACTACATCCGTAGCTAAACAATCACGTTTCCATGATCTCAATCTAACATTTAAAACATTTAATTTAAAAATTGTCTAGATGAACTTTTAAAGCAGAAATGCTTCAAATTCTGTGAAAAGAGTCCATGCAACCATATAGATGGAGATTTTGGACCAATCCGAGTTGTCTGTGGTCAGGGCCAGAAATGGAAACCAAGCGAAGGACAAAACGTCATTATCGCTATTTAGAAGTGAAAGGTTAAGGAAGATCAGATGCAATTTATTTTAGTCGCATAGCACCACTTCTAGTCACACAGGATTTCTTACAGTGGGGAATTGTGTTGGTTAGAAGTAATACTTCATAGGAAAAAAAAAAATACAGCCACACAAAGATATGTAAGAATTCTTAACTTTATTACCATTTTGAATATAAATTCCTGCAGTCCACAATAGAAAATGCAGAGTGTATACATTGAAAAGACTGATCCCAAACCAGTTGTGTGCACGGGCACATAAAACCAAGACATCAGTATTGAAGGGGCATGTTAAAAACCACTGCGTCAAACAGCCATAGTACCATCATGATCTACTAAACCGGGGCTCAGGGCTAAGCAACTAGCAGGATGTAGTTTATTATAAAGAGAACACTCCAGAAGAAAGAGGAAAAAAAAATAAAAAAAATGCTGGGTTGTTTCAACCCAACTTTGGGTCAAATATGGACTAACCCAACCGTTGGGCTACATTTTTAACCCAAAAATTGGGTTAGTCCATATCTGACCCAAATTTGGGTTGAAACCACCCAGCATTTTTTAAGAGTGAAAGAGAAAAACAAAAAAAGCCCTTACCTTCAGGTGCCACACCAAATCATTTTGTCCATGATATATCAACTCAAAAAGTCAATTCAGTGCACCCAACGAGTATGTATAGAAAAATAAACTAAAAACACACAAACCTATATCTCTACCACAGTCTGTGAATATGTTTTGCATCTCTCCGACTCGAAAGCAGTCATGCCTGTGGTGTGTCCAGACGTTTATATATGAAAAACAGTTTCTGTTCATTGATGCACACTGCTGGAAGCGAAATTAGTTTAAAACAAAACAAAAACGCAACAAAAAAAAAACCCACACCGGAGACGGCTGTAAATGGATCAGAAACAAACACGCTTGCCAAAGGCTGCACTGAGACCAGTTGAACATCGTCAGGAAAGAGAAGAGTAATCCATCATAGGCTGTTGTAAAGTGAGGTATGAACGTGACGGTCAAGTCCAGAGTAGAACTGACCTGGTTGCAGTATTCCGGGTTTAATTAACCATGTTTGTAGCAGCATTAAGTTCTGAGAGGAGACCCAGTCACTGGACCGATCAGCGTTCCCTGACATGGAATTTAACACGTCAAAAAAAAGAAAGAAAAAACCCATGAAGAAAACGAAACAAAAACCTAAAACACATCAAGTGCAAGTCGTCTGAGTGGACTGTAATGGGACAGAAGAAGTGACACGGGCTGGGAAGTTCACAAAGAATTTGCGAGCAAATGGAATGATTAGCATTTTCTAGTTAAAAAAAAAAGATTAAATGTTTGCGTGTAATTCACGGGTTTGGGGCCGATACAATTAAAAGCACTGCTGGTGTCTAATCATTTGCGGTGCCTTTTTTGGGGCAAGGATCAGTTGGTGGTAAAACATTTAATCATTTCCGCAATTAAAACCAATCGTCCTCCATAACAACATTTCGAACGAGCAAACTGTTCCTTAGCACATCCAGCAAACAGAACTAGACTGAGAACAGACTTAAACGGACTACTTAGCTTTCGCATGCCAGTACATTTATTGTGGGAATCGGCGAAATCATGATGGTGGCAAGTCGGCGGAGGGCATTAAAAAAAAAGGGGGGGGGAAGTGGGGGGGGGGGAATAAAAAAAAAAAAAAAAAAAAAAAGTAAAAAAAAAAATGTTTCACAACAAAGCATTCAATGATGTTGATTACAAGTTAAAAGTCCTCTAGGTTATGCGCACAAAAATACGCTAATTTTATTTCTAGCTCGAATCACGGAGTAGCTAAAAGAGTTTAACTGGAGACAGTTACCACACACGCACACACAACCAAAGTAAAAACAACGAGTAGGTCAGTTCACCTTTGTCCAGTACACAACGACATGAATTTCACACAACCTACCATATTTTAGATTTAGACGTGTAAAAATAAACTTGAATTCTCAAGGCCTGAAACGGTTGCTTGCGAAAAAAGAGAAAACTTCAGTATTTTGCAAATCGCTTTGTGTCAAGCCGCCATCAGAGCATATCTTTGTCCAGTATAATGACAGACACTTTCGACCAATTAGCCACTGAGTGCGAGACATACACGTGTGCATGCATCCACGAATGGACATACAGTATTTTGAGTCTTTTTCCAGTGGTGTTACACAGAGAAGGCGCATGAAGTGTGCAAGCCTCCCTGACGCTAGAGGGCGCTAGAGCGTAAAGGTGAATTGGAGGGTGAGGGTGGCACTAGTGTAAGAGGAAGAGGGGGAATGGGGAGGGTCAGTCCAGCTCTGGTCAACAGGAAGAAATAACGTTGGATTGTGAGGTAGCACGAGTTGCTAGTTACTGTTCCTCTTCCTCCTCCTCTTCTTCCTCAGAGGACTTAGATGGCTGCTCCTCCTTCTCCTGAAGAGATAGACAGCAACAAATAGTCAGACAAGGAAGTGACATTTGCATTATTGCATGCAAAATAAAACCAAATACGACGGACCTTTAAATTGGGTTAGACGCCATGTTGAATTTAACAGACGTGCAGTTTTTACAATGGCACGCACTGTATAAAGGTTCTAGATAAGTCATTTTTACAACTTTCAAAGCTGTATTACAGACTTTTTGCTTGCTTAGTTTTTCAGAAAGAGATAGTCATTGAACAACCTGTATACTAAACACTACAACCTACTGAAAGCACTGAACTTCAGTCCCTCACAGCCTCAATTTCATTCTTGTCAATTATTAAATATGGCCCTATCCTGACTATAGGCATTATTTGTATTTGTGCAAACATTGTTTCATTTTCAAAATGGGGACAATGCAGTCTATTATCTCAAATCTGAAAGAATAAAAGGTTAAAATGATAAACATGCTCGGAGTCACCGACTTGCTCACTCATAACTTGCACCATTAGCGTACAACAATCCACTAGGTAACTATGGGTTCACAGTGACACTGATGCCAACAATGTGGAAATGCTTAAAGCAGACAGGCGAAAACACTCCTCTTAAAAGGAGTTCACCCAAAAATGAAAATTCTGTAAATTACTCACCCCCAAGACCTTCATTCATCTTCGGAACACAAATTAAGATATTCTTGATGAACTCCGAGATCTCTGACCCTTCATAGACAGCAAGGGAACTACAACCATCGTTAAAACGGTCCATGTGACATCAGGGGCTCAACCATAATTTTACGAAGCTACGAGAAAACTTTGTGCACAAAGAAAACAAAAATAACTCCTCTATTCAACAAACACGAAAAGCATTCTTGTAGCTTCGTAAAATTACAGTTGAACCCCTGATGTCACATGGACCGTTTTAATGATGCCCATGCTACGTTCCTGGACCTGGATCGTGGTAGTGCCCTTGCTGTCTATGGAGGGTCAGAGAGCTCTCTGAGTTCATCAAATATTAATTTGTGTTCCGAAGACAAACAAGAGTCTTACGGTTTTGGAACAACATGAAGGCGAGTAATTAATGACAGAAATGTTCATTCTTGGGTGAACTATCCCTTTGAGACATTAAACAATGGTCACAAAGTATATTCAACATTTTGCATGTAGCATCCACTCTACTAAATCAAATCAGAGCCACCTGTTTTCGAAGTCTGAATGACTAAGTGGAGGAAACGTCCTGGCATGGCCACGATAACTAGTAGTGTGACTCAGAGCCAGAGGTTTGTGTGACTCAACTCGGCAGATTCCTGCAGACATGTTTGAATGAGGAAAACTAAACTCCAGCGCCAGAACCGTGCCTCATGTGAGAGGAATGCAGCACAAAGACACGGGGCTGATGTGAGCTGTCGAGGAAACGGGGGAGCGGCACTGGGCTCTGCCCGATTACATGCCTGACTTAACAGCAAAATAAAAGGCTTCAAGATATTTGATCTGTTCTTATAAACAAGACCTACAAGAGAAACGAAGGGGGATAAAGAGCTGCAAAAAATCCCCAATGTGAGAAGCAGCCAAATATTTTTTGTTGTTGCCCGTGGCAACTTCCCACCACACAAACACCCGTTCAGCCTTGCGGTTTTCGCTATAAATGCACATGAAAAGCACAAAACGGAAGACAAATGAAAACTCACTGCTTTCTTGGGCCGTCCTCGGCGTTTCGTCCCTGCAGGTGCCGAAGCCGTTGCTGTTTTCTGAAAGAGAAAGAGAGAATAAACATTGTGCTACGCATGCAGTTGAGCACCAGAGAGCGCTGTTGGGCTCGTGCTGGCAGGCGGCCCAGGGGCAGCGAGTTCATTGGCTATTATATTGGAAACGGACATGAGCAGCATGCAGTGCACTTCAGTTTGCCGGCCACCTGGTCCGGAGCTGAGAGACAGCTGGTACAATCGGGCGAGAGAAACGGCAACACGTGCATGCACACACAAACAAAGGGAGAGGTGGTGTGCATATTGGGGGGGGGAAGGGTTGGCGGGTCAGCTGTCATAACAATAGATGGAGGGGATGGAAGGGCGGGGTTATCATCTCAGAGACTGCACTGCTGCCTGTGCACCTGCAACAGCGCCTGCTATGCCACAGGAAGACAGCAGGAAGTCAAAAGATTCAACCGGAATGGAGCAACTGGTTTTATCCGCACACTCTTCTAACAAAAACAGAAGACTGTTCAGCTCGCACATTTAAAAATAATAATAATAATAATAATAATAATGAGGAGCCAAGAATTTGACTGTAAACAAATTATAAAGCAAAAAAGCTAATTGGGCAGAATTACACTTAAAATTAAAGGTTCCAAACGTGGGGATTTGCAGTGATTCCATAGAACCACCGTTTTAGGTTCCAAAAAGAACCTTTCAGTAAACCGTTCTTAGAAGAATCTTTGGTTACACTATTTTAAGGTGTCCTTGTTACAGTGCAACACATTTAAGTACATGTACTTACCATATGGTTAGGATTACTTGCATGTAATTATTCATAATTAAGTGTTATTATACCAGTAAGTACGTGTAACAATGACACCTTAAAATAGTGTTATGCAACAGTTCTCAGAGGAATCTTTGGCTACACTATTTTAAGGTGTTCTTGTTGCAGTGTAATTCCACATACAAGTACTGAGTAATATTAATTAACTACATGTACTTACTATAGGGTTAGGATTTGGCTTAGGGTTACTTGCATGTAATTATGCATAATTTATTGTTATTATAATAGTACATGTAACTTATGCAACAAGGACACCTTAAAATAAGAGCGTCACCAAATCTTTTTCTTTATGTGACGACCTAAATAACCTTCTTCCTCTATAAAGAACTTTGTGCAATTCCGTGGAAATGTTCTTTATGGAACCACAGACACCAATAAGAACTTTTGATTGTTAGCGTGTAAACTCATCGGGCCGGAAGACAGATGCAGGTTTGTCGGTTTGTCTTTGATGGTAACATTGTACAGGAGGTAGTTGTGCACAAAACCACCGAGACATTTCTACTCACTTTGCCCCGATATGCCGTGGAGCTTGGCTTGTTCTTGCTGCCCTTTGGTCTTCCTCTAGGTCTCTTCGGTGTGGGAGATCCACTTGCCTCCTGCTGCTAGAATATTGAGAATGATATGTAATCAGAAACACCAAAATATGTGTACAGACTTGAGTCAACTGTGGGTTTCCACATACTACTGGTGGATAACGTATAAAGCATCTGCTGTTCATAGCTAACAACTGGTTGCTACTTTAAGACCAACAGGTGGCATGCAGTCATTGGTCGCCAAAAGAGAACCGAATACACTGCAGACCACCACAGGCCAACTATCAGTGTCATACCAGCTAAATGAGCCGCTCGGGGTCAGTGTAAAGAATATTTCCTGTCAGACATATGCAAATGGATAGAGTAAGCCAACCGCAAATAATGCACATCAAGTCTGCTTCAGTCTTCAAGGACAGGAAACCAAGTTCACGTCAATGTAGACGAACATCTACGTCATTTGATTTAGAGAGAAGAGTGTGTGAAAGATCAGCACACTTGTTGACATGTATAGCCCTTCAGGCATGACAATTTTACAACTACACGATACAAAACAGAGCCCTGATGAGACAAAAAAACAAAACAAAAAACAGATTTGGATGAAAAACTAACTTAAGCTGTTGCATCCTACCAATTTCTGAAACTAAACAAATGCACAAACTGAAAATCTGCTAGAGCTATTAACCTTGCTGCCTTTATAAGCATGGGAAACAGATGTGAGCCACTTGGATCAAAATCAGAATGAAATCCCTACAAATGATACATACGTGCTTGTTTGCTTTTTTCTGTAGCACACATTATTAGTGTGCTTGTTCTTTTGTGGTGTAGTAAGGAGCTATGGCTTTATATAAACACACACACACACACTAAAGCAGCGAAGACAGTGGTGCTTAATAAGTAATCCATCTTGTTGTATGATGGTGGCCATGGATTGCTACTCAAAGGCTCCGAGTACATGGGTGAGTAACAGGGCCTCAAGAGTGCATTGGGTTTAATGTTTCTATGACTGACAGCGGGACGAGCCAATCAGATGCTGGCATTTCCCAGCGGCCAATCAGCGCGCAGCTGAAACAGTGGGTTACTGCTGCTTTAAAGAGATCACGTTACAGGCCTCGGTCACTCTGCCGTACAGAGGACCACTGCACATGTTCAGCGTGTGCGACTGAGTCGAAGATGCACCAAAACAGAGATCTTAATATAGCCTATCGGTTAAGCGCTTTATGAGATTAAGTAACACTCCAAAAAATGGTTTGGGTGTCCTCAGCCCATGTGCAGGACCCCCCCCCCCCCAAAAAAATAAATAAAACGCACGCAAGCACCATTTTAGCCAGAAACACAAATAAAGGCAGTGTTTTGGCCTCATCACTATGAACGCTGAAGCCAGAGCGGGCCATGTGAAGCAGAGCGCTACCTGCGGGTGTTTGCGGGGTCTCCCGCGTCCTCTCTTCTCCGCCGCGTCCTTCTCTTTAGGAGCCGCCGTGTCCTTGCCGGAGTCACTCATTGCGCTTTACTGGAGAGCTGCATGCAAAGAGAGTCGCTCGATAAGCACAGTCGACCAACACACACGATATCTGGTGAAAGCACAGACACTTTAAATAAATCACCACGCGCTCGTTTGGTAAAACGGTAGAAATTAACGTAATGACCGAGCGCGCGGAGCCACCGGCTTCCCGTGTTTACCACGCGCGCGCTAGGCCCGAGCTCGCGCGGACTCAACCCCCACACAACGTCGGCTACAACAAGAACATATCCGAGTAGCGGCGGGCCCGTTTAAACTATATGATAATACCTTAAAATCGCAGATGTGAAATCCGCCGGAGGTTCTCGCTGCGCTGCGGCGGAGCTTTAAAAGAGAAAGCTGGCAGGCGAACGGCTTCTACGGATACCCCGCGGATCCAGTGCGAACCGGAACACGGACACAGCGCGCGATTCGCGCCCTTTTAAATCCCCCAGCGCGTGAAACGCGGTTCTGTTGTTTACACTGCGGAGAGCTTTAATCGATTAAAACAAATAAAAAAATAGAAATAGCAAACCAATGCTTCGTGTAAAACGTCTTTTGAACGACTGCAGCCCTTTGTTTTGAAACCCCCAAAAGTTGAATTTGAAAAGAATTGCGCTGTTCGCTGTATATAAAAACACCGCTTCTTCGAGAAGGGCGTGGACTGCGCTAACTCGCTGTGACTTTGCGTAAGTGAGCCGTTAATAAGTTACAACGCGCCACACGAGCCCGCCAATACGTTTAGTGTTCGTTAATCCCGTTCAAGTGTGCCCCAAAACACACTAATCACTCCCCTTTCTGTTCTCTTCTTTGTGTTCGGCGGAGAATGGACATTACTAGCGCTAGCTTTGAAACTAATGAGGGAGATTTAAAACGTACCCTTTTGAAAGGAGCGGTCAGGACGGCGTCCGGAGCGTAGAGCCGCGCGAGCTGCGAATGAATGAAACAGCACTCGCCTGCTTCGGGAGTTTCAGGGGCATTTCACGCCGGAAATAGACGAGGGGCGGAGACCGCGAGGAGGACGTGCGTTTGAATTGTAACTGGCCAATCAGCTGCGTCGGTGGCAGAGTCCAGCCAATCACGATCGCGTCGGTGCCAGACACAGCCAACCGTTTCTGTTTGTGATGTTGCTACAGGTTTTTGTTGTTAGTTACCGACCCCCCTCTTTAAAAAAAAAACAAGTTGGTCTTAAGTATTGTTACCCTTTTTATTTTAGCGCTATTTTACAATCACACGCAACATTTACAGCAGGCAGATTTAAACAAAAAAACATTGTCATTTTGAAGACTGGTAAACAATAAAGAAATGTTTCCAAGTTTCCCATGAGAGTGTGTTATTTAGTTTGTATGTATGCCTTAATACTACGTGTATTATATTTTGTCTTGCTATTTAGGCCTACTTGTTTTTTTACATGTTTACATGCATCTAAAAATCAAGAGCCACTATGGTTATTCTGAGCTGGAAAGCATTTAAAACTATTGTAATGCTTGGATGAAAGGCCAATGTAACGAGCTCAGAGATGGCTCATGAAGCTATGATGGTTTAACAAATCATCTTTCAGTTCCCTACAATATTTCATTGACTAGAATTTGCTCTTTGTGACTGCAATTGCTGTATCATTCAAAGCAACATTCGTCCAAACATTTCTTACTGTGCAAGACGAAGGTATTGCGAAGAACATCTGAGACCAGTTGCATTTACAAACCCGATTCCAGAAAAGTTGGGACACTGTACAAATGGTGAATAAAAAACAGAATGCAATGATGTGGAAGTTTCAAATTTCAATATTTTATTCAGAATACAACAGATGACATATCAAATGTTTAAACTGAGAAAATGTATCATTTTAAGGGAAAAATAAGTTGATTTTAAATTTCATGGCATCAACACATCTCAAAAAAGCTGGGACAAGGCCATGTTTACCACTGTGTGGCATCCCCTCTTCTTTTTATAACAGTCTGCAAACGTCTGGGGACTGAGGAGACAAGTTGCTCAAGTTTAGGAATAGGAATGTTGTCCCATTCTTGTCTAATACAGGCTTCTAGTTGCTCAACTGTCTTAGGTCTTCTTTGTCGCATCTTCCTCTTTATGATGCGCCAAATGTTTTCTATGGGTGAAAGATCTGGACTGCAGGCTGATCATTTCAGTACCCGGATTAAAGGGATAGTTCACCCAAGAATGAAAATGTGATGTTTATCTGCTTACCCCCAGGGCATCTGAGATGTAGGTGACTTTGTTTCTTCAGTAGAACACAAATGGAGATTTTTAACTCAAACCGTTGCAGTCTGTCAGTCATATAATGGAAGTGAATGGGCTCCACGGCTTCCAGAGTAAACAAAACATACACAGACAAAACCAAATGAAACCCTGCGCCTCGTGACGATACACTGAGGTCTTAAGACACGAAACGATCGGTCTGTGCAAGAAACTGAACAGTATTTATATCGTTTTTTTACCTCTGATGCACTGCAATGTCTGAGCGCGTTCACAACATCCGGCGTGTGACGTGTGTACGTGCTCTGGTACAGTAGACATAGATATATACAAGTAGATGCCTCATTAGGGACTGTTTCTATGGGCCGCGATACGTGCCAAAATGGCGGACGTGTCAACGTATCTGGAGCGGTCGAATAGGGCGTCTATACATATCTATGATGGTAGACGCATGTGCGGAAGCGATCTGTCGCGCGTATACGTCATTCGTTATTTACACAGTGCAGAGATTGTGTATGTGTTCACTGGCACTGCGATGATCTAAAGATATTTAGAAGTACAGGTCATCACAATGGAAGACGATTTTGATATATCATCAGACGACGTGGAATTTTTTGCCCAACCGTATTTATTTGACGTCACGCGCCGGATGTTGTGAACGCGCTCAGGACAGTTGGACATCGCGGTGGATCAGAGGTAAAAAACTAAATAAATACTGTTCAGTTTCTTGCACAGACCGATCGTTTCGTGTCTTAAGACCACAATGTATCGTCACGAGGTGCAGGGTTTAATTTGGTTTTGTCTGTGTATGTTTTTATTGACTCTCAAAGCCGTGGAGTCTATTCACTTCCATTATATGCTGATCAGATGTGAGAACCAGCCAAAGAACATATTCATCATCAAGACCAACATTACTCACATGATGCATTAAAGTCACATCCATTTAACATCAGTGCAGCAGGTAAATGAACAGCAGCATGGATTCAATGCCTTCCACTGACACACGGCAGATCATCTCTGAATGTCCTGCTTGGGAAGTTGATTTGCATCTCCTTCACCCCTTAAATGACTGAAGACCTGTCTTCCTGAAGAAGTGCACAATACACCATGGTATTTGTTGGGTCCAATTAAAGTTACTTTGGTTTGTCCCTCACAAAACTGTAACCTTTTGCTGAAAGTTGCAAATTCAGTTCTCATCAATATATGTTTATACTGATCTACATAGAAACAGCATGTGTATCAAACATAACTCTGGTCTGATATGGCAAACATCACTGCATGCATTCAAAGAGATAAAGTCCTGTGACTTGTGAAAGGCTGGTCTTTTCCTGGTGAAGGCTGTAGGCTAAAATTGCTTTACATTTACAACACAAAGCAAGGTGTGATGCTGCAGCTATCGGCACCCTGCTTTGGTCAATATACCTATTGTGTTGCAAATAGGAGTAAAAGCACCATTTAGCGTTTAGTGTTTAGTGTTTTCACAATGGGCCATTCGGTCTGCTGAGACATCTTTTAAATGCAAAACCGTGCCACTTATATATAGCATGGAAATAACACGACTAATTCCCCCATTCCTGCTGTTCACAGACGAGTCACTGTGAGTCAGTGAGTATCCTCTAATCAAACTGTGATCAAAGCAAGGTGTGATGCTGCAGCTATCGGCACCCTGCTTTGGTCAATATACCTATTGTGTTGCAAATAGGAGTAAAAGCACCATTTAGCACAGCCTCTGGCGCATTTCACTGACCTGTGTTTTCACAATGGTCCATTCGGTCTGCTGAGACATCTTTTAAATGCAAAACCGTGCCACTTATATATAGCATGGAAATAACACGACTAATTCCCCCATTCCTGCTGTTCACAGACGAGTCACTGTGAGTCAGTGAGTATCCTCTAATCAAACTGTGATTTTTTTTTTGTCGTTCTGGAATTTGAAACTGAAAGAATTTTGTAAATTAAAGAGGGAGGGTTTTGATGACAAACAGACAAAACATTCATCAGCTTCCTGTCGAACTATTAAACTTGTTTGAGGTTGTTCTTCATGGGCCCCGAGGCTGTTCTGAGGCATTTGTCATGTCCATATATACCTCGAGCAATACGCAGAGGAAGAAGTATGAATGAACAGCTGTAATGTTTTTTTTCTGCTCAGCATGTGCTCTTCTGGCACTATAACTACTGGCTTATTTTCTCCGAGCATGCACCTCCTGCTTTTCCCGCCGTGTCTGCCATCCCCCATGCACGCCCCTCACACACACACACACACACACACGCAGTCTATGAGCAATTCACAGATATTCACCCTCTTGCATTACGCCTTAAATCACCATATGGTAACACTTATATAAGAGTAATAATAACAAATGTCTTAACTTTTATTATTGGACTTTTACTAAAGAAGGTAAAGTTAAATGAATAATAAAAATAAATAAAATAAAATCAGTGAAAATAAATACAAAATATGAGTTATTATTATTATTATTATTGTTAAATACAAAATATGCATTTTAGCATCATCTGATAAAATGTTTGGGAAAACAGCAGTCTGCTTGCTCATATACACTATAAAAGCTTATTACAAACATTTTTTATGCCAGATATATTTGGCGTTTTGCTTTCATTTATAGAGGACAGGAAGTGAAGTATGTTTGTGAAATAATTCAAATATTTGTTTGTAAAAAAATTTATAATAACGGCATTTGTTTTAGAAACACAGCAGGATGGTAGCTAATTAATCTGTATCGTTTATAATAATGTATCCTTTCTGAAGGTGCTGTGGTTTAGCAAAGATGTATATACTTTTAATGTGTAATATCAAAAACCACATGTCGTTGGTATACACCTTGTTTATGATATATGATATATTATAAAAGGTATTAGTCATTTTAAACCTACAAAACAGTGCAATGTATTCAATAGGCTACAGACAATTCCTTATTAGCACATTAGCACACTTGGCATTACTAATCAGACTTTTCAGTGTTTTCTTTTCAAAAGCTGGTAAACATGTTGTTGCTCTCATATAGGCTATGCATGAATGTATAGTTAGTTGCATTTCACTACATAGTACATTTTTTTTCCTGCTGTCCACAACAGAACTGGCAAATATTTGATTGCTATCGTGTCTTCAGAAGACTTGAATTTTATTGCACAAGTTTATAGACCACATTTAAAGTACATGTATACCATGTTCAGGGCTTTACGGTCACCATGTATCGGTGTAGACACACCGCACTCGGGACATTCTGCAAAAGAAAGTCGTACATGCATCGTAGAAATGCCATTTTTGGGCGAACTATTCCTTCAGCAGTTTCGCTTTCCATAATGGATTCTTAAACCTTCACACCACAGCTATTCTCTCTCATGGTTTGCAGTGTTTGCTCTGTTCGGAGCTAATCACAGACAGACGGCTGCAGCGGTCAGGGACCTGTATTCTGTGTGGGTTTCTCGGGAGTTTGAGTCACCATTCGCACAGTAACACGGTGGGCCGGCCCGCGGACAGACAGAGAACATTCATTTTCTGAATGAAGGCAAAGGAAGGAAGCGGAGCACAGAAACAATCCCCCACCATTTTTCAAATCTGATTCACTATGACTGAGTCAACTCTGAGTCAGGCGAGCACAGGAAACTGTGATTCTCGCCGAGCAAACGCTACTAAATCATAGTACACAGATGCAAATCAAACAACAACAACGGTGTAAATAAATACCTCAAAGCTGCTCCCTCATTTTACTGTAATTTATCATCGGTAATTGCTCAGCTGATTGCATGATATGGCACA